AGTTATCCAGAAGATCTAACTAAGATCGCTGATGAAAGTGTATACACTAAACACCAGGTTTTCAATGTTGACAAAACTGTCTTCTATTGGAAGAAGATGCTATCTAGGACTTTCATAACTAAAGAAGATAAGTCAATGTCTGGCTTCAAAACTCCAAAGGACAGACTGACTCATTAGAGAGAGAGTTAATGTACCTAGTGACTTTAAGTTGAAGCTAGTATGCATTTACCATTCTGAATATCCTAGGGCCCTTCAGAATTATCTAAACCTAACTTTCCTGTGCTCTCTATATAAATGGAACAAGAAAGCCTGGATGAGAGCGAATCTGTTTACAGAATCATTTACTTAATATATTAAGCCTAATGTTGAGACTTAATCCTAAAAAAAAAAAAAGATTTCTTTCAAAATATTACTGTTCATTGACAATGCACTTAGTCACACAAGAGCTCTGATAGAAACATACAAGGAATTCATGTTGTTGACATGCCTGCTAACACAGCCCAAGGATCAAGAAGTAATTTTGACTTTGAAGTCCTATAACTTAGGAAAATACATTTCATAAGGTTATAGTTGTCATAGATATTGATTCTTCTGATGGATATGGGCAAAGTAAATTATAAACCTTCTGGAAAGTAATCATCATTCTAGATGGCATTAAGAACATTTATAATTCATGGGAGGAGGTCAAAATATCAACATTAACAAGAGTTTGGAAGAGGTTGATTCCAACTCTCATGGATGACTTTGGGAGGTTCAAGACTTCAGTGGAGGAAGGAACTGCAGATGTGATGGAAATAGCAAGAAAACTACAATTAGAAGTAGAGCCTGAAAATGTGACTAAATTGCTGCAATCTTATGATAAAACTGGAACAGATGAGAAGTTGCTTCTGTGAATGAGCAGAGAAAGTGGTTTCCTGAGATGGAATCTATTCCTGGTGAAGATGCTGAGTGTTGTCGAAATGACAACAAAGGATGTAGAATACTTATACATACACTTAGTTGGTAAAGCAGCAACTGGGTTTGAGAGGATTGACTCCAATTTTTAAAGAAGTCCTGCTGTTGATAAAACGTTACCAAACAGCATCCCATGGTACAGAGAAATCTTTCATGAAAGAAAGAGTCAATATATACAGCAAACTTCATCGTTGTCTTAGGAAATTGCCACAGCCACCCCAATCTTCAGCAACCACCACCCTAATCAGTCATCAGCCATCAACAAGGCAAGACTCTCAGCTAGCAGAAAGACTATGACTTCCTTAAGGCTCATATGTCCTTTACCTTGTTTTAGCAATATTTTTAATTACAATTTGTATTATTAATTATTTTTAGACATAATTTTATTGCACACTTAATAGACTATAGTATATTGGAAACATAATTTTTATATACACTGGGAAACCAAGTCACATTTGTGTGAATTGCTTTATTATGATATTCACTTTCTTGCTGTGGTGTGAATCCAAACTCACAATATCTCTGAGCTATGCCTGAACATCCTTCTTTTCCATTACTTTCAGGTTTGTTTTTTTCTCTCACCCTTTTGGCTGAGGGGGAAACAATCTTGAATTTATATGAGCAGTATTTGTAAAATTCAACCTCTTGCAACCAATGTAAACTCTCTCAGAACACAGGAAGAAATAAAATTGACTCCATAGTATGATTTCTGTCATTATATATCATTATGATCAATGCATTTTTATTTATCACCCACCATATATAGAAAATGGTACTAAATCCTAGAAATAAAAAAATAGAAGATAGAACAATCCTTGTCCTCAGTTGATTTATTCATAGACTGATGAATAAAGACTCCTATATAAAAAGATAAATTCTAACAAACACCATTGTATCCTAAGTGTCCAGTGGGAGTCAACCAGTCAATATCTGGAGTTCAGAGAAGAACTGATTACTAAGGACTGGGATAGTCACCTTCAAGGGGACTTGGTCCACATTTTGAAGGAGGACTAAAACTTTCAGAATTAAGGGAGGGTGTTTCAGCGGAGATTAGAGTGTGCACAAAGATGAAAAAGTACATGGCATTTTCAGAGCAAAAATAATACATCAATGAGCTGGACTGGTGCATTCAGTATTGTAGCAGGAGAAAAATTTGGAGTATTTACTTAGCCTTCAATATCTAGACTAGTACTACGGGCATAAGAGAGGTCCACTGGAAATAGAAACCCATTTAATGTTTAATGAGAAATGAACTTATAAATAATTTAGGGAGTTTTATAAGGTATTACTATAGAAAATGTTGGTACTAGCATGAGGTAAATAATTGTGGTCTAGAGAGTTGCAGAAGAAATTTTAGGCAAGCATAAATGCTAGAGCCATTAACATAAGAAAAGGCAATAGAACTTGGCAACTGATTAGATGTAAAGATAAGATACTATTAGGAATTCCACAAAGTTTTATTCAACTGTGTTTGGACTAGAGACTCATAAGTTAATGAGCCTACTCTCAACCCTGTACATAATATAGAATCTCATAGAGAAGAGAGTGATTAACTCTACAAGAGACTAAAAAGTGGCTTCATGAGTAAATGGATGCATGAGCTTGGACTTCGGGGATGCATAGAATTTCACCAGATGGGAGAGGTGAAAAAAAGTAATGAAAGGGCAAAAGAGGGACAGAATGTCACCTTTAAAATTTTAGGTCTACATGATTGGAGTAAGATGATCACACAAACTACAAAAGGGAAATGTAGTAAAGATGATTTAGGAAGAATGATAATGAATTTAATTTAGACAGTCTTCAAACAAATATATGAAGAGAGCCCACAAATCCTGAGGCACTGAGGACACGTCCATGAACAAAATTTTCTGATTTTGTGGACTTTATATCTTAGTAGAAACAGATACATAATTTGAGAGCGAATGTTCACCAAAGGGTTTTGTTTTGTTGTTGTGTTTGTTTTTTGTTTTTCTTTCTTTCTGTCATTCATATCAATAAGGTAAATAGACACACAAGAAAGCACAGGTGACTAGTATTTGACTTAACCAGTCATCACTTAGGCAATAGAATGTACCAAGTAACTATTCCCTCTAAGACTTCAAACTGTCCTCAAACTGACCTTGACGTCTATAAGCTTCAGACACATGATTTAGTAGTTGAGAGCAATAAATTAGAGTGAGTAACATTTAGTTAGGAGAATCTAAAGTCTTCATGTGCTAAAACAAGCTGATCTGCTTCTAGCTTTGCATTTTTACTGCCCCCTTCCTATTCTCCACCTGTGCACAATGTTATGCTGTGATCTTCTGACCTTAGCAATACTTCATGAGATGTGTCTGGACTGAAGTTCTCACTAGTCTCATTGCTAGAATGTTCAAAGGGAGAAAAATATTGCAAATGTACTTGCAGGTCAGAAGTAAGAGTTTTGAATGACTAAACTTGAAAGTGAAATTCTTCTTGCAATTAAAATACTCGGTTTAAATGACAAAAACAAATATGTAACCTGCTTAGCATTCCATTTCAAGCTGCTATTGAGAACAGCTGAGTTGAGTAATACCATTTTTTTACTTAACTATGTAGTGGCATAGTATTCATTTCACCCTTCAGTAGACTGATATGCTGAAAAAAGACTGGACATTAAAGACCTTAGAGTTTTCTGACCTCCACACCACTAGAAGCCAATCTTCAGAGACCTTACCTGACTGGTTGAAAAGCATTCAGTTAATTCCCTACAAAAGGAATTTGGGGTTTTGTTTATTTGTTTATTCATTTCTTTGTTTGCAAAATGAGTTGCTATAGCCAGTTCCTTCAAGTATTAAACTATGTCTGTTAACTTTTTCTAAAAACTTGTTTATTTAAAATTAATAGTTCTTACCAAAACTCTAGTTATATCCAATCATGTCAAAGCAGTATGTCAAGATCATGTAAAAGCAGTCTGCTGCCAAGATTATTTCTCGGCACTTCCTGGGGACTTTGAGATAATTGAATCTAATTCTTCTGATGGAGCAAGATGATGACTATCTGAGGAGACTGTTTGAGAAAAAATTGTCTTTGGAATAGGGTTTCAAATGCTAAATACAGTCACAAATTTATTTATTTATTTATTTATTTATTTTTTGAGACAGAGTCTCACTTTTGTTGCCCTGGCTAGAGTGAGTGCCGTGGCGTCAGCCTAGCTCACAGCAACCTCAAACTCCTGGGCTCAAGTGATCCTCCTGCATCAGCCTCCCAAGTAGCTGGGACTACAGGCATGCACCACCATGCCCGGCTAATTTTTTGTATATATATATTTTTTAGTTGGTCAATTAATTTCTTTCTATTTCTAGTAGAGACGGGGTCTCGCTCAGGATGGTTTCGAACTCCCAACCTCGAGCAATCCGCCCGCCTCGGCCTCCCAGAGTGCTAGGATTACAGGCGTGAGCCACCGCGCCCAGCCCACAAATTTATTTTGATAACAAATATTTATTAAGTGCCTAGGGAGTGCTAAATGTTACAACAGGCATACACAGTCCAAAAATGAGGCACAATTGCCCTCAAGAACTTCACAGTCTAGTAAGATTTAGCCTTATTAAATTATTTTTGTGTCTTTATTTGGGTTTCTGAACTTTAGTTTTCTGGGTTTGTTAGGAGCTGTCCAACACAGGTTTAAAAATATTAGATCCCATTTTTAATGATATAAACTGTCATATATCCAGCTGGTAATCATTTATTTAACAAATGCATGGCTAAACAAGAAGCAAAGATTTTCAAATTATTTTGGATAAGATTTTATATGACTCACAATTCACATTTTATAAGTAAGAAAGCTGGCAGGGCTCTGACTCAAATCATGTTTCCAAAGTCTAGTTGAAAGGGCTTTCTCCTGAAGTCCATATGAAAGTATAGAATGCAGAAAAATTATTTGGTGCTAATGATTACCTTAATTGACTGTGGGATTATCATTTTACCTTACGTGCTGGGGGTAGAAGTCATCCTCTGCTCTCCCTGACATGTCTCATGCATGATTCCTCATCATTAACAGCCTAATGGACATATTTACTGTGTATCAGTTTTCCAGACCAAGAAATTCGTGCAGTGGCAGTTGAACAACTAGACAGTCTCTCGAATGATGAACTACTGGAATACCTCCCACAGCTGGTTCAGGTAAGAACACAGAGTGGCCACAGAAATCAGGATTTTAACTAATGATTCTCTAAAAAGTTCCCAATGCATCAACAACAGACTACATAAAAACTGATAGTGCAATTTGGCCAGCCAGAGGGCTAAATCATAGCACATATGTCAACATGGGTAATGAAGACATTCTCCAGCCAAAATTGATATTGTTACAAAAAGATTATATATATGCCACAAGGAAAAACTTTTTTAAATGATTTCACTTGTTAATCAGAACATGGAAAAAATAGAAATGCTTGTGATGAAATCTTTCCATTCATATAGGTAAAGCAATACAAATTAATTAAATAAATGTTATATAGAAAATAATCGTGTGCCTGGTAGGTCTTCATGACTTATGAGTTTCTTGTCTTTCCCTTAGGAGATTATAATATTGATTATAAATTTTACAAAAGTGATTTCTAATACCCCAATTTTGCCACTGAATAGTACATTTTAGGGAAATTAAATATCACAATGTTGGAGTAATTTTAGAAAATAACAAAGTTATCTGGAAATATGAGCAAAGACTGATTTAGACCCTGTAAATGGCTGAATATGCTGAGTGCTTCAGCTCTAAAATTGTGGTTTTTATGCTTTGTTTTGTTTTAATTCAGCTGTTTTCTTATCTGAAAGGTCAAATTGTAAGTACAAGCTATTTTAAATGTCAGGTGCCTCAGGTTTTGGACAGTACAGGAGACTCTAGGACTGTTGGAAGAAGCCTCTCTCTATTAATAAACTTCAGTGCAGTAGTACTATGTACACAGATATGCATTTCTCTAAAGTCATTCTAAGTAGAGAGAGCTAGTTTGGTAACAGACGTACCATAGGGGACAATACAATCCATCTTCCAATCCTTATAGTAGGACTTTCCTAGACTTGTCAGTAGTGAAAACAATGAGTAATCTGACTTGTAGGATCACTACTCATCTCATGACTCATGGGTATGGGCAACACACTATCTCTAGCCCACCTCTAAAGAGTAAGTATTTACAGAAGTTTATGGAGCTTAAATACATTTGAAAAACCTCAATCTGAGTCAGTACACTTGGCACCAGGAATACCACCGAGAGCCATATTCCTGCAAATCCAAATTCATAAGACGAAGTGCACACAGAATCTAACAAAGAAATGCACAGAAGGTAAAATTAGGTGAAGCTTCAACTATGTTCTAATTAAAAATGAAGATTGGAAAATGGTTTTGAGGCGAAAAGAAATGTATGCTGTGACTGGAAAATAAACAATAACTGGGAAGAATTTCAACACATTTGTTGTAGATTTTGCCCTTAGCATTCTATGCTTCACCCTGACTTTAAACTTTCCAACACAAAGATTCCTAACCCTGTTGATTATTTTCTCATATTGTTTTGTTATATATTCTCATGTTAGAATTATACAGGCTATATTAAATCACTGAGAAAGGACTTTAAGACCTTAACAAAAACAGAAGATATGGTCATAGCTATGAGTCACGTAAGGCACAAACCCAGAAGTTACTGCAAACCCATTCATAATAGTGTGGTATGCACCAGAAAAGTTGCCTGTGTTCTATATGGTGAGACAGGATTTGGAGGGAAGCTTGTTCCAGTGGACAGAGTAAAGTTTGGAAGCAAGGGAAGTAATTCCAGAGCACCAAATATTAATAGTTATCAGGATCAAGATGAAATAATGGGGCAGACATCTAAAAAGACAATCATAGAAGCAAATTCTGAAATGCACCTCCTGCTCTTATGCTCATATGATATGCTTACTAATTAGGGCATAAATCAAACCTGTGACCTAGTCAGCCCCACATCAGAAAGTAAGTGAAGGAAGCCTGTGCCTGCAGTTTAAGACAATGCACATTATGGTCATCCTACCTTCAGACAGCATCAGGAGTTGGTGCAAATTTGCTGAAATCATCTTCAGCATACTCACACCTTAGGAATTTATGAACTTCCCCATCTTTGAGGATGGTTAGCATACTGGGGTGTGTCTTCAGGTGTGTGTTTGCCCATTTTTTTCCTGCTGTCTGTACTGTGGTATAAAGACTGGCTTAAACTCTCAAACTGTGTGTGTATGTGTGTGTGTGTGTGTGTGTGTGTGTGTGTGTGAGAGAGAGAGAGAGAGAGAGAGAGAGAGAGAGAGAGAGAGAGAGATTTAAATGGTTTATTGAACAAATGAGGGTAAAAGCTTTGCCTGTCAAGCAGGGATGAGCATTGTTATGAGGAGAGCCTGGTTTTCATTCTCACATATTCAGATTCCCGGGATGATGATGGCAACCCAGGTCCAGATTGCTGCCAGGAAAGTCCCTACAGAGGGAAGGTGGAGGTCTGAATTAGGTCCCTAAGGATATTAAAGGATGCCATTACTATATGTTTTCTACCAGGTTAGGTATCCTAGAAAACCTAAGAGAGTTGGTCACAGTGGAGATTTGGGAAAGGATTTGGGAATGAGGTATGTTGGTAACAGCTTTGAAACTTTAAGCAAAGATTCAAGGTCTGCAGGTTAATATTGATACACCATATGGTGGTTTCTATAAAAGCTTTGGGTGTGCATTGATTTCATCTCCAAATGGGAAGAAATATCTATTGCCTAATACTACCACTTTTTATAATCCAAGGACATTGTTCATGACATTACTTTTTATGCCAGGATTCCCCTTCAGGCTGTGGTTGAACTCCACACATTATCTGCCCTTATTTATTATCTTGTGATCCTAAAGCATAAACAAGGACAGGAAGCAAGGACTACACAAACCCAAATTATGTAATGTATGTGTTCTATGTTATTGATTATATACCAACTAATAAAGCCATTGATATATTGCTATTAGTGTTTTGTTAAAATGTGCACGCTGTTTTCCCTGGACTTTCTCAAGCCTTTTAGGTCCCTCTGTATTCTGCTATAATTTTTGTACTGAGAATAAGAACTTAATTATGTCTCTTACTTCAGGCTGTCAAGTTTGAATGGAACCTTGAAAATCCTTTAGTGCAACTCCTACTACACCGCTCATTGCAAAGCATCCAGGTTGCCCATCGTCTTTACTGGTAAGATCAAAACAGGTTAGGATGCTTTTTAAATTGTCAACTTCTCTGCAGAACAGCTTTAGAAAAAGAAAGCTTCTTTACTTTGTAATTGATACAGACTGTGAGTAAAATTAAGCCAATTTTAAGCCTTTGTGAAAGTTATTGTCATTTAAGAGAATAATTTGTCATCATTTACGAAATCTTTCCTTTGGAACATTGCTACTGTTAAACATTAGGTTAAATCTAACCAGAATTTTAAATCTTAATGATGCCTTTCTTGTAGCTTTAAATCACAAGCAATTTGTATATCTAGCCCTTGAAGACTTCAATATACGATCTAGTTATAAGACTGAATATTTTGAAAGAACATGTGCTTTGAAAGTACTTTCTGTGCAATATTAGCCATAAACAATGGAATCTGGCAGCCAATATGTACACTTTCTCTTGGAAATTCCTAGAGCACTAAACTTTTCCCAGAGCATAAATCTGGAATATTATTAGTAGAGAAATTAGACTTATTTAAAAGATATCAAAAGTATCATCATGACCTACTTTGGATCTTATTGAACATCATGTTCTTTACATGCTGTTTTTCCTACTTTTTTTTTATTACTAACCTCATGGATTCAATTTCAGTTTCATAGCACAAAATTCTAATAATTACAGGTGCCCATGACCTAATGGTAAAATTAAATCTATCTTTAAAAAAATGTACTGGAAGATAAATTACCTAGTGGAGATCACTGATGCTATGTAACATTATTATATACAAATTTGTGTAAAGGAGAGCTGTGTTTTACATGGATATGTTATGCCCATTCAATGTGCTACTCATACACCTTATTATTCACCTTACCTGGACAGTTTTTTCTTGGGAGATTTCTGCTCTGCTTGGTGATAGCAACTATAGGGAACAGATTTACAGGATAATACTTTATATTTCCCTGCCTGTGAGTTGCTGCAATTCCTAGTTTCTTTTTTTTTAAAGCCTTTCTGAAGTATTTATTTTCTCTATTTTTTTTTCTGATTTTTTTAACATTTCAAAATATTAAGGGGGTGCAAATGTTTTTGTACATGGATATTTTTTATAATGCTTTACTCTGAGCTATAAGTATGCCCATCACCCAAACAGTGTTCACTGTAGCTACTAGGTAGGTTTTAACCACTCCTTCTCTCCTTCCAAGCATATAGTTAATCTACTCATGAATTGATGGGCACTTGGGTTGATTCCACATCTTTGCAATTGTGAATTATGCTGCAACGAACATTAGAGTATGGGTATCTTTTTGATAAAATTATGTATTTTCCTTTAGGTAAACGCCCAGTAGTGGGGTTGCTGGATCTAATGGTAGGTCTACTTTTAGTTCTTAGATGAATCTCCATAGTGTCTTCCATAGAGGTTGTACTAATCTGCAGTTCCACCAAGAGTCTATGAGTGCTCCTTTTGCTCTGCATCCACACCAGCATCTGTTGTTTTTGGACTTTTTTAATAATAGCCATTCTAACAGGGGTAAGGAGATATATCATTGTAGTTTTAATTTGCATTTCCCTGATGATTAGTGACATTGAACATTTTGTCATATGTTTTTTGACCATTTTTCTTCTTTAGAAAAGCTTCTGTTTAATCTTTTGCCCAGCTTTTAATGGAGTGGTTTGATTTTTTCTTGCTGATTTGTTTGAGTTCTTTGTAGATTCTGGATATTAACCCTTTTTCACATGTATAGTTTGGGAATATTTTTCCCATTCTCTAGGTTGTTCATTTCCTTTGCTGTGCAGAAGTTTTTAATTTAATTAAGTCACATTTATTTATTTTTGTTATTGCTGTAATTGCCTATTTTATTGTTGCTGTATTTGGTCTTCGTCATAAATGTTTTGCCTAGGCCAAGATCTAGAAGAGTTTTTTCCATATTTGCTTCTAGAATTTTTATGACTTCATGCATGCCTTACATTTAAGTCTTTTATCTATCTTGGTTTAATTGTTGTGAGTGGTAAAAAATAGGGGTGCTGTTTTATTCTTGTGCATTTGGCTATCCAACTGCCCCAGCATCATTTATTGAATAGAGCTTCTTTTCCCCAAGTGTATGTTGTTGTCTGTTTTCTCAAAGATCAGTTGGTTGTAGGTAGATGGTTTTAATCTGGGTCCTCTGTTCTGTTCCATTGGTCTTCTCTACTTTTGTACCAACACTATGCTGTTTTGGTTACTATAGCACACAGTGGATGGAGAAGTAATATGGCATCCATCATGTCAGCTTGGATCTGTGGTGACAGGAAGCCATCCCAAGGGGACTGGAAGCCTGATGGTTTGTCCTCAAAAAGCTCCCAGTTCACTGGCAGCAGCAGCTTTTGGACTCATGGGGGTAGAAAGGCTCTCCAGCATCTGGGGAGCCTGCTGACTGCCTAAGGTGTGAGGGAGGGAGAAAGAACCCCTCACCTGCCCTTTCCACTGGGCTCCAAGCCTCTTGGGGTTGGTCTGTACCAATATTTTGCTCCTTCTGGTTCTCCTCTGTAACTTCTTCCTATGGAATCTCTGGTAAGTTCTGGCACTTGTCCCTCATAATTACACTTGATCTATGGTTTTTTTTTTTTTTTTTTTCAATCTCAAATTTCTCCTTTTTACTGAAATGATCTGGCAGCAATGTCTTTGGTCAACTATCTTCCTCCCTTCCTCTAGGTCGATCTTTCGTCCTCATCAGTGTATGACAGACATCCTTTAGTTACTTCACCTACTAGTTAGGAACATTATTAGAAAAATAGTAGGTCTATGTCGTGTTGGAGTATCGTGTTTTTCTGCTTCAAGAAATGTTACTCATGTTGATATCATTCTTCCCATGAAAATGACTCTAGCATTTCGTAGCAAAGAAGTGACACAAGGAACGTGTCAGGGACTAATGTTTGCACTGCTGCTCATTTTCATTTTAAATGCCTAATTTAAAAAGCATAACATTTCCTCTGATATGTTACTATAATAAATATCAGATACATTGAATAGCACTGGGCCCTTCACTGAATAGACTCTTATCAAAACTCTGAATAGAGTCTTAGACTCTTTAGTTTTTCAAACAGCTACTATGGTGCTAAGAGAAGTTAAGTGGATACACTTTGTGGTGTTCTGTCATACTAAAGTTAAGACTCCATTAAACTCAATATTCATTTCCCTTAAAACTTTATTTATTTTTTATGTGAATTACTAAAATAATAGCATATTAAAAAATAGCATGACCAGATAACAATCTTGATTTTAATATTTGAACCAAAATATAAAACAAAAGTATAAAATGTATAAAAAGTATTTTAAAAGATTATTCTTTAAAATACATATTAAAAATAGAATAAAATATGAAAGATTTATCCTAATTGCTAATGATTGTTGTAATACTTATGCCACCTTATTGAGTTCTTCATCTGCTAAAGTGCTATGAAAGGTGAAGTGATTTGAAAGGCAACAATGAGTTCACTGAAAGTTGTAATCAATGTTATACTTGCAAGTTCATATAAATAGAATTATTTATCTCTTGCCAAAAGGATTAGGAGCAAAACTGTTCTGCACATTAAGATAATCCTCACCCTTATGTGAAAAAATACAATAATAGGGCCCATTTCTCCTCTCACTGATTCAAGAAGAGAGATAAGATAGAAAGAATAGAAAAGAATATAAATTATAAATGAACTGATTATTTTTGAGGGTTATGTTTGTAAGAATACAAAAAAGGGAAATGAAAACAAGGAGGGAGAATTTAAGATACCTACATACTTTTAAAACAAATAAAAAGGAAGAATCAGTCAACATTCACTAAGCATGAGATAATATTGTTTACATTTAAAACATATCTCAGGCTTAAAAATAGCTGATGCCTAGTATCAAGTTTAGAGAGTGAGTATTTCTGTGCAAAATATTTGAGTTAGAACTTTAAAAATGCAGCTCAGATCCCTTATGATTGACTAAAAAGTAAATACCCAAATTCTCTTTCCTCCAAAAAAATCAAATCAAATCAATGCTCTGTAAAAAAAAAAGAGCTAGAAATCCATCAGTCATCAGTTTAAAGATTTTTTTCACATGGATGAGTTACTGTAGAACAGCTTTAGAAAAAGTAGAAGAATCTTCCTCAGATTCAACATATTCAACACTGAACTCAATATCCTATCCTGCTCACCCAGGTCTTGAAGTCTTCTGGCTCTTTTATCACCACCATGACTCTTTTATTCACCAAGCCCTATAACTTTGAACATCCTAAAAATCTCTCCCCACTCCACTACTTCCACCTGACACTCTCACTGATCAGAAGGTTGTGTGGGCAGATACTGAACTTTAACTAAGATTGGAATGAAAACCATCTTGACCACTTAGCATCACTGTGGGCAGACTTTCTGAGATGGAAAATTGATGTGGGGTTACTGTGAGTCTCTTTCATTGGAAGAGTGAATGTAGGATGAGTAGCCCCTGTTTTTCAAGGAAAGGTGGTTTGGATGTAGAAGATTTGAAAGCTTTACCTCCATGTTTGCACCTTAAAAGGTGGCTATAAAGGAGAACCATTACATTTTGGGGTAGGTCTACCTAGGAGGCCTCTCCCTTTGTCATGTAATGATTAATTAGAGAAGCTTAAACTCAGTGCCCCTTTCCACTTTGGATAGAAAGCAATTTAAATGCTAGTGAAGTATTGGGTTGAATGGTAGCCCCCCAAAAGATATGTCCACACCCTAACCCCAGAAACCTGTGATTGTGATCTTATTTAGAAAAAGGCTCTTTGAAGTTGGAATTAAGTTAAAGATCTTCAGAACAAACCACTCTGGATTAGCAGGATGGGCCCCGAGTCCAATGGCAAGTGACCTTATTAGAGGCAAAAGAGAGGACAAGCACACAAAGGAGGAGGTCATGTGAACATGGAGGTATTGATTGGAACAATGCAGCCCCAAGACAAGGAATGCTTGGAGCCACCTAAAGTTGGAAGAAGCAAGGAAAGTTTTTCCTCTAGAGCTTTGGAAGGGAGCATAGCCTTGCCAACACCTTGGTTTCAAACTTTTGG